AAGGAGGGAAGGCAACTCTACTGGACCTTCGTCTCCCCTCAGCTGGGCTACTGGGCTGCTGCCCTGGCCTCCCCTGCATATTCCGGTGAGGAGCCAGTATGGCTGGCCTAGCCACATCTAGGAGAGGTTGGGAGGGCTCGGGGGAAAGGGACATGAGGCATCATCGGATCATAAACTGAAGGGCCCTTAGAGATCAGCTAGTCCAAAACCTTTGTTTTACACATGAAGAAACGGAGGTGCCTCTACCCTCCAGATGTCTTGGCTCCCACCTCTTATCTTTGCCCTTTCATTATACCCCAGCATCTTTCCTCAACTCTGAGGCATAGAAAAGTCAAGGGACTTGCCCAGGGTCACACATCTTCAAAGTAGCAGCTGTGGGATTGGGACCTGGATCCTCTGTAGGCAAAGTCAGTATCTTTCCACTCCTAGACTGAGGAGGAGAAATCTTCTATGTGCCTACTATGCACAGACGCACTGTGCTAAGCTGTTGGGGGCAATAATTTAGATTTGTTATGGAGGCAATGGGGTTAAATGACTTGCTCAGGGTCATACAGCCAGTAAGTGTCTGAGGTCAGATTTGAACTCAGGTCCTCTTCACTCCAGGGCTGGTGCTCTATCCACTGTGCCACTGGAGTGCCCCAATAGGTTAGATAAAACATAGTCTCTGGGGGCAGGTAGGTGGCGCAGTGGATAGACCACCAGCCCTGGAGTGAGGAGGACCTGAGTTCAAATCCGGCCTCACACACATAACATGCACTAGTTGTATGACCCTGAGCAAGCCACTTAATCCCACTGCCTAGCCAAAAAAGAAACCGAAAACAACAAAACATAGTCTCTGCCTCTTAGAGCCTGCAATCTAGTTGGAGATAAGACAAATGCAGAGATATAATTATGATAGATGGATGACAAGTGCATTGGAGAGGTCCAAGGGGGAAGAGATTATTATATTTGGGTTTGGAAGGTGGGGAGGGGTCAGAGAAGGCTTTCGAGAGGAGGTAGCAATGTAGCACTGGAAGGTTTTAAAAAATGAGTAGAAATGCAAACAAGTAAAGAAGCATCTGAGAGGGCGTTCTATGCTTAGGGAAGAGTGTTAAGTAAAAGATGATATATACAGGGGATGCCAAGTCATCCAGTTCGTTGTTGTTTAGTCATGTTTCAGTCATGTCTGACCCTTTGTGATCCCAATTGGGGTTCTCTTGGCAGAGATACTAGAATAATTTGCCATTTCCTTCTCCAGCTCATTTTACAGATGAGAAAACCAGGGCAAACAGGGTTAAGTGACTTGCCCAGGGTCACACAGCTAGTAAGTGTCTGAGGCCACATTTGAACTCCAGAAGATGTCTTCCTGACTGCAGGCCCAGCACTCTGTCTACTGAGCCACCTAGCTGCCCACTTTGGCTGGAGTGTAAAGTATAGGAAGGGCAGTAATATTTGATAAGGCTGGCAAGTTAGGATGGTACCAGGTGTGAAGGGCCTTGAATGCCGGGCAAAGGACCACTGAAGGATTTTAAGTCGTGGGGTGATGTGGCTGAGTCTGTGTAGGGAGCGCCACGGGGTCTGTTCCATGGGGAGAGGGCAGAACGATGAGACCAGTGGCTAGGTCCTCCCTCCTTCTCTCCAGGCACAGGGCTGGTGACTGTCACGTCGGGCATTAAAGACATCAGCACCTACCACACCATCTTCCTGCTCACCATCCTGGGAGCCCTGGCTTTGCTTGTGCTCAGTTTGCTGTGCCTCCTCATCTACTACTGCAGGTCAGAGGGCAGCTCCGACTCCCTGCTCCCCATCCCCCCTCGACTACACCCCTTCCTTGGCCTCTCACCACATCACTTCCTCCACATGCCCCTGTGACATCTCCTCCCCACAGGGCCTACTCCCTTCAGATACCTTGGCTCCCACCTCTCATCACAGGCCCCAGCCTCCTTCCCCGACTCTGAGTATCACCCTGTGGACATGCCCTGGGTCCTCAACTTCATTCCCTAGCACAGGCTCCTCCACCCCCCCTGCCCTTTCCTGCTACGGTTTAATTGTTCAGTATGTCCAATTCTTTGTGACCCCGGTGGACCCTACTGTCTATGGGGTTTTCTTGGCAAAGATACTAGAATGACTTGCTATTTCCTTCTCCACCCCTCTTTTCATTTGTTTTATTTATTTATTTATTTTTGGGCTAGGCAGTGGGGTTAAGTGACTTGCCCAGGGTCACATAGCTAGTGTGTCTGAGGCCGCATTTGAACTCAGGTCCTCCTGACTCCAGGACTGGTGTTCTATCCACTGCGCCACCTAGCTGCCCCGACCCCTCTCTTTCCTAGATATACCCAAGTCATACTCTGAACAGGAATCTTTTCCTAGACCCCAGGCCAGGTCCTCCCCATTTCCTTCTCACTCCTCACCTTGGAGGGAAGGGAAAAGGGCATCTTTTTCAGTGCCAACCCTCATCCCAGCCAGCCCTTTGCTTTCACTGAATGCCTATGCTGTTCCCTTAATCCACAGAAGGCGCTGCCTGAAACCGCGACAGCAGCTGCACAAGCTGCCTCTCTCTGGGCCCCTGGAAAGTAACAAGAAGGACCAAGCCACCTCGATGTCTCAGCTCCACCTGATCTGCGGGGGATCCCTGGAGCCTCCTTCCACAGGGAACCCCGAAGCGCCACCTCCTGGGGCCCTGCATTCTGCCTTCTCCAGCTCCCGAGACCTGGCCAGCTCCAGAGATGACTTTTTCCGTGCCAAGCCTCGCCCGGCTGGCCGGGCATCAGCAGAGCCCCCTTGTGCCCGGGCAGCTGACGGGGCAGGTCTTAAGGGAGCCCGCTCAGTGGAAGGTCCTGGGGGACTGGAGCCAAGCCTGGAGGAGTACCCCCGTCGGGCCACGGCAGGAGCTACCTACCTGCACGATCCCCCATCCCCACCTCCGCTGCCCTCCCCCTTTGACCACTTCTTAGGGCACAAGGCCAGCACAGAAGGCAAGGCCCCTGACTTCCTGCTCTCCCAGTCTGTGGACCAGCTCTCCCGCCCACCATCCCTCAGCCAGGCCGGCCAGCTGATCTTCTGTGGATCCATTGACCACCTGAAGGACAGTGTCTACCGAAATGTTATGCCTACTCTGGTCATCCCTGCCCACTATGTGAGGCTAGGGGAGTCAGGTACAGCCTCGGGAGATGAGTCAGCCCCACCTGAAGGTGCCACTCAAGGCCCTGCCCGGCCCTTTCCTCAACCTGACCCTCAGCGCCAGCTCCTGCAGGGCCACCCGGGTGCGGGCAGTGAAAGTGGAGAGAGCTGGGCAGGTGCCCGATCCACACCAGTCAGTGGCTCCGTCACCATCCCTGTCCTCTTCAACGAGTCTACCATGGCCCAGCTGAATGGAGAGCTGCAGGCCCTCACTGAGAAAAAGCTGCTAGAGTTGGGGGTGAAGCCCCACCCACGGGCATGGTTCGTGTCTTTGGACGGGCGCTCCAACTCCCAGGTGCGCCATTCCTACATTGACCTGCAGGCAGGTGGGGGCAGCGGTGGGCGAAGCACCGATGCCAGCCTGGACTCGGGTGTTGATGTGCATGAGGCCAGGCCCCTGCCTCGGCGAAGGCCACAGGGCCCCCGGGGGGAAGAGCGGGCCCCAGCCCCGACCCCGGCCCCGCCCCCAGCCCCGCCCCGCTTGGCCCTGAGCGAGGACACGGAGCCCAGCAGCAGTGAGAGCCGCACCGGCCTCTGCTCCCCAGAGGACAACTCCCTGACTCCGCTGCTGGACGAAGCAGTTGCACCAGAGGGCCGGGCGGCCACAGTGCCCAGGGGCCGGGGCCGCAGTCGGGGAGACAGCTCCCGCAGCAGTGCCAGTGAGCTGCGGCGAGACTCCCTCACCAGCCCCGAGGACGAGCTGGGCGTTGAGGTGGGCGATGAGGCTGGGGACAAGAAAAGTCCCTGGCAGAGGAGGGAGGAGAGGCCATTGATGGTGTTCAACGTTAAGTAACCCCTCCCCTAGAGCTGGCACTGTGGTGGCATTGGGGATGCCCAAGACTCGGGCCCACCTCAAACCCATACCCTTTCCAGAGCATCAGTGCCAGAGACAGGTGATACCCGGGTGCCCCAGCAGGCAGAGCCAACGTTGAAGAGGTGTCTGGTGAAGCCCTTAAAATGGTCCTTAGTCACCTAGGGCTGTGCAGTGTCTGGGATGGGAGGGAGGCCAGGGGCTGGGCCTGTAAATCTGCACTGCTCCCCTTTCCTTTCCCTGGGGTTCTTGGAGTTGCCAGGAGGATGCCTCAGGGGGAAGAGGAGGGTGATTGGTGGGAGAAGACAGAGGCTGTGGGGAGGGGGAGAAGGTGGGAGGGGAGGGATTTGTCCCTGACCTCCCAACATTACCATGTTACGCTGGGGGTTACCCCCTCCCCAAGTGCCTTTTCTCCCTGGCAACCCGGGAGGGAGAGGGGCTAGGGCTTTCAAGGTCCATGAAAAAGGAAGGCCTGGTCCCAAACCCGAAAAAATAAAAAACCTTTTGGAGGCTGGGGGGAAGGGAGAGACTCCCATCATTTGTACAAATACCCTGTATATAGAAAGCTCTATTGTGGGGAAGATGGGGGTAGGGAGACTGGTCAGAGCCAGGGGAGGGGAGGGGAGAGCTCTAGGGAGAAGGACAGGATCCCTGGGCCAGGAGTGGGGGCAGAGGGGAGGGAGGGAGGGCTTGGCATGTGTGCTGCCTGTTCACCAGCCTGGGAAGTTGGCATCACATCCTCTAGAACAACCTGGTCTAGGCCGCTGCCAGGAGTGCCACAGGCAGGCTGCATCGGGAGAGATGAGGGGAACCCAAGGGCTGGCTTGAGAGACAATACATAAAAACCATTGACACTGACTGATGCTGGCATTCTCCTTTCTTGGGAAAAGAGGGGGGGATCGAGGGAGATGGGCCCCAATGCCGGAGCCAAGTAAATGGAGCAGAGAGGGAGGTGGCAGTGACTGCAGAGGAAGAAAATTACCCGCGGTGGCTTCCCTCCCGCAGACCCAGCCCAGCAATAGAGAAGCACTTTAACAAACTGTATAAATTTTATTGTAGTACCATCCCCTCTCAAACATCCCCACTGGGTACAGGAGGAAAGAGGCTGGACAATGAAACCCTCAGAGTTAAGGGAACCTCACCCCAAGCCAAGCTGATGAATGGCCATGGAGAATCACAGCAACAGAGGCTTCCCCCTTGCCTCTGCGCTGCCCATCCAGCCCCCTGGGGGCCGAGGCTGTGATCTGATGGGGAAAAGGAGGTACCTGGGGAGAAAGCATGGGCTGGCATTCCTCCCACTGAGGTTAATGACCATGATGGTGTGGAGCCTGGAGAGGAAGGTGCTGAGGAGACCCAGTGTGGGGGGCCCACACCTGAGGAGGCCTGAGTGATGTACTCCCCCCGCACTGTCCTCAAGGCTGGGGTGGAATGCTTGGGTGAGAGTGGTGATCCCCCGGGCTCCCATCCCACTCACAGCAGCGTCTGGAGGTCATCCCATCGCAGTTTCTTCCTTCGAATACACTTGGTGCCCTTGGCCCCGCAGCGGAAGCCATCGGGGCAGCAGTGCTGGCCATCGGCACAGCACACACCCTGGAAGGAGAAGGCACATGAGGGGCGGGGAACAATTTCACCAGGGAGCAATTTCACCATGGGGATGAGGGGCAAGGCACAGACCTTATTCAGCGGGCAGCATGCCCAGGCCCCCACGCTGTTCCGGCAGCAGGTCTGGTTGTTGTGGCAATAGTGCTGGCCCTGGCACTGCACATCTCCCTGGTCCATCGCCAGTGAGAGGGGCAGGGAGGAGGTGGGGGGCTGGGCCGAGCCTTGTTTTTCACAGGACCTGGCCTTCACATTGCAGGTGTAGCCTGATGGGCAACAATGTTCCTGATCCTCACAGCACACAGCCTGGAAGAAGCAAGCATGGGGTCCTTGGGGCTCTAGCTTCCCTTCCCGCTCACTTCCACAGAGAACGGCCCCAGGGTGGGATGGAGAGGGCCCACCACAGGGGGAGACTGGCAGGGACTCACGTGGGGCAGCTGGCAGCAGGCCCAGCCCCCTCGAAGGCTGGGACAGCAGGTCTGTCCATCTGGGCATCTGGTGTGCTGGTCACAATCCACAGAGGTAGACATCATATTGGAGCGAGCTGGCATCTTCCGCAGCCAGGGCACTATGTGATGCTCAGTCTTACACCCCTCCGGGCCACAGATGTAGCCGTGGGGGCAGCAGTGCTTGTGATCAGGACAGCACACGGCCTAGTGTGGGGGAGGAGGAGGTGCAAGAGCTCAGAAAGGGGCTGTCCTCTCAGCCCATCCCTGACTTTCTTGGGGACCTCCCATCTTCTCTTCCTGGGCTGCTTTTGCTCCTTGGAGAGCTAGGCCAGACTGGAGAGAATCTAGAATTCCCTCCTTCTAAGGAAAACTCATCCTCCCTCCCCTTCTCACTCAGCCCCCTCCCAGACCAAATCCGAGACACTGCTCCACCCTGGTGGGCTCCTGCTGTACCTGTGGGGCAGGGCAGCAGCCCCATGCTCCTGTTTCTAGGAGGCAGCAGGTGGTCTTGGGGGGGCAGCTGGTGGTGTTGTCACAGGGGACATTGCCCGGAGCAGCAGGGGAAGCCGTGGTGCTCCCCAGCAGCGGCGTACTGTGGGCCCCCTGGATGCACCTGCCTGCCCCTGTGTCACATGTGAAGCCGTGGGGACAGCAGTGGACGTGGTCCTCACAGCACACGGCCTGGGGGCAGAGGGTTGCCCTTTGACCCGAGGGTTACCCCCAGAGCTACAAGGTGCCTCCTCCCCCCACCTCCCCTGTTCCCTCTGCTTCTCCCAGGTACCTCAGGAAATGGGCAACATCCCCAGCTTCCAGACTGCAGACGGCAGCAGGTGTTGGCCTCTGGACAGCTTACTTCTCCATCACATTTCACATCCTGCACTGGGGGGGGGGGGAAGAGAGGAGAGGGGAGGACAGGACAGGAGAGGCACATGTAGGTGGGCAGGGATACAGAACACCATCTCTCTGGACAAGAAGGGCTCTGAATGTGGCAGAGGCAAGGCAGAGCCCAGGCAGTGAGTCTGTGCTGTCCAGACTGGCCCTCTCCTCCCCAGGTACCTGTTTCTGCAGGCAGCTTGGTAACAAAGTCAGTGGTGTCCCCCTTTTTGGAGAGGCATTTACTCATCTGCAAGTCACACATAGTGCCTTCGGGGCAGCAGTGCTGGTGGTCTGGGCAACAGATGGCCTAGGAAAGGAGACAAGGCTCTATAGAGAGGCCCCGACTGCTGGGGTAGTCTGCCATTGTCACTGCTCAAGTTCACCACCAGAGGGCAGAGCACACAGCATGCCCAGCCTGCAGGCTCAGATGCCCTGCGGCCCACACCAAGAGATGACTGAAAGCCAGGTGGCCTGCGAGTGAGAGGAGGGTGAAATCCCTGGGCCCCTTCCTCACTCACATTTGGCAATGGGCAGCAGCCGAATGATCCGCTAGGCAGCTGGCAACAGGTGGTACCCTCAGAGCACTGGGAACGGGCATCTGGGCAAATCACTTTGGTGACCATCATCACTGAAAGAAGAGAAAAAGGCCGAAGACCACTGAAAGAGACCCCTTGATGAGGCCTTTGCTGAAGACAGGTTCTTAGGATGAGGGGCCCCTTAGGTTTCCTTCCCCTACCCCAAGTTTCTTACCTTCCTTTTCTTGCTGAATCTTTTTAGCAGGGGTTTTTTGTGCCAGTGGGTAGGCACCACCACCAGCCATGAGGCAGCGAGCATGAGCCACATCACAGGAGGTGCCTTGGGGGCAGCAGTGAACTTTGTCTTCACAGCAAGAAGCCTAGGGAAGTTGATTTTTAAATCATTTACATGTCTCACTCATACCCCACCCTTTGCCACCCGTTCTCCAGAATGGGTACCTGGGGCATGGGGCAACAGCCCCAGGAGCCATCTGGCATTATGCAGCAGGTAGATTCATTGGGGCACTCATACTGGCTGTCTGGGCATTTCACTGCCCTGGAGCTGGCACCTACTGAAACAATAAACCAGGATCTCTTTCCTAACCGGATCGCTTCTCTTCCTTCCCCAAATGTCTTTTCTTCCCACCTAGCCAAAACTGAAGTAGGAGGACTGGCAGATGGGCCACCACACTTCTTCTGTGGCCCTTCTAGTCACAGACTTAAGAATTTGCCCTTGGTGCCAGGTTTATCTCCCCAAGCCTCCAGGATACTAGTGCAAGCATATGCCAGGCTGATGCCAAACTGCCCTCCCTGGTGCCTATTTCTAACAAATGGAGATCCTAAAGCCCAGACACCTGGATTCTCTCCTGGTCCCAATTTCCCAGAAGCTTTCACCAGCCTACTCTCCACTTCTATCCTGCCCCAGAAAAAGAGCTTCCTCCTTACTGGATCATGGTTTTAGAGATGAAGGTACCAATCCACTCAATGAACAGATGTAAAAGCTGAGGCCCACAGTGATCTGTCTACAGTTACACAGGTAGCAAGTAGCAAAGCCAGGATTCCAACTCAGATCCTCTGATTCCCAATCCAGCATTCTTTCCTCTGTATTTCACTACCGCCTCTGATAAATTCCTTCCTCAGCCTTCAATGCCCCTACCCCTCCCTCTCTACCAGAGGCCCAGCTATTCCATACCTTGTACCTTAAAGCACGAATGACCATCTGGGCTGCAGTGGAAGCCACGAGGACAGCAGTGATGCCCATTACCACATACCACCGCCTGAGGAAGGGAAAGGCGGGGACACAGAAGAGTTCATTGGCAGGGGACAAGAGGAAAGACTCTACCAGACTCCTCCCTCCAGCCCCTCTTGGCCATCCCTGCCTTCAGCCCTTACCTCTGCATAGGGGCAGCAGCTGTAGTTCCCCAAAGGGGTGAAGAGGCAGGAGAAGCCAATGGGGCAATGGGAATCACCATGGCACATGACACCCTGGTGTACATTCTTTGCTACAGGTATGGATGGCTGTGAATCCTAATGAGATGGGAAAGAACCAGGTAAGGGTCAGGGTTCAGTTCCTTCCTCTACAGGGATCTCTGTAGATGAGCAGGACTCACCATTCCTGGGTTTACCCAGGCAAGGAAAATCAGCTTTGCCCAGTAATCTGAGCTTGTGGGCACTGTGGGTACCAGAAAGAACCTGGCTAAATAGCTTTGGACCCTGGGGAGCAGCCAAGGTTAGAAGGGATTGGCAACATCTTCCTGGGTACCAGGATGGGTACTCACCCAAGGCAAATCACAGCAATGGTAGCCAATTCTTTCTGGTTGCCTGCAGCAGGCCTTAGGACACACCTGCCCATCAGGGCATTGAATTGCAGCCACCAGCCCTGTCACCAGGGACAACCAGCTTAGCAGCTTCCACATTGTCCACCTGTCAGCCAAAATTAAGCCAAAGCTTAGCTCTACCATAGGTTCTCTCTTGTCCTCCCCAAGCACCCAGAGCTCAACCTTATGCTGACAGCCATGACCTTTGGACTCTCAGGGAGGACACTGGATAGATAGAGCAGGGCTAATGGGGGATAAAATCTACACACAGAGAGTCTCCTGTGGGGACGTGCAGAGGGCATCCTGGCACCTCTGTCGGGATCACAGATTTGAAATTGGAAGTGACCTGAGAGGTCATCTGGTTTAACTCCTGCATTTTACAGATGTGGAAATTAAGGGATGTTGCCCAAGGCAACATCAGTAGTCAGTGGCAGGGCTGGCATTCAAACTTATTATCTCCTGGGTCCGGCAGCTAAACCTAACGTCTGGGAACGAGGGAGTAGGGCGATGGAGCCAGATGGGAAGTTTCCCCAAAAGGAACCGTTCCCCATTGCTGTCCTCATGCCTAGTAATCATTCTTGTTTTAACTTGCTTCAAGGTTCTATTTGATTGAGAGAGGAAAGACTCACATGATTACACCGGAAACAATGTGGTTGGAAAACTTTCAAAAGGGGAAGTAGAAAGAGTCTGTGAGTCAAGGCTCTTCTTTCCCCAACAACTACGTTCTACTTACGCCCTTCCCTCCAGCACAGCCAAGAAGAGTGTATACCCCTAACCAGCCTCTCCCATGCCCCACCCCACCCCCACTTTCTCTACTGCCCTCACTCCCATCTATTGTCTCTCTTCTCCAAGGCCAGTGGCCCCCTATTCCCAAACAGTGGAATGCTGCCACATCTGGGCTGAAACAGCTGCTTCTGAGAGTCTCTTGTCCCACCTCCCCCACCCTACCCATGAGTCAGCAAAGGGAACTGAGTCTCATGTCAGTGGTGGAGACACACTTGACCGGCCCAGACTTGCTAGGCCATCTCTTCCTTCAACCTCAAAGAGGGAAAAGACTAATCATTTCAACAGAGCTCAGATGGGGTGGGAAGAAGGTTTTGGGGGGTGATATTAACTTCCCCAAAGGAAGGACAGCTGTAGGGGCAGGAAACTCTTATTCCCTTGCCCAGCCCTTGATTAAGAACTTATGGGGGAGAAATGGTTTTAATGTCATTTTCACTGCACCGGGAAGAAGTTGGGAAGGATTAGGGGAACATATTCACGAGATGATGAGCAGCTAGGTGGTGCAGTGGATAGAATGCCAGGCCTGGAGTCAGGAAGACCTGGGTTCAAATCTAGCTTCAGACACTTAGTAGCTGTGTGACCCTGGACAAGTCACTTAACCCTGTCTGCCTCAGTTTCCTCATCTGTAAAATGAGCTGGAGAAGGAAATGGCAAACCACTCCAGTACCTTTGCCAAGAAAACCCCAAAAGGGGTCATGAAGAGTTGGGCATGACTGAAAACAACTAAACAAATTTCCGAAATGGAAGCTGGAGAGAGGCCAGGCTCTTGGGATCTGGGATATGTTTCTGTTTTAACTCTTTTGTCTCTTCTTTCTCTAAGTTTACCTGCCTCACCCCCTCCATCAATAACTGATGGGGAGATGAAGGACTAGGAAAGGAAAAAAAATCAGGGTCATTAAGACTAACAAACCAAGGAAAAGAGAAAGTGTCACCATCACTTCCTGAAATAAGCCACAGATAAGACAGGGCTTGGGGGAGGGGAGAACAGCGTTAGGATAGGGTCTTTGAGGTTGTTGTACTTCTCTGCCCGTCACCTCTTCTTACAGACCAAGTTTCCTTGAAATCCAGATAGCCCCAAGCTGGGATGGAGGGAAGGAGAGAAAGAAGAAGAAACTAAGCCACCCGAACCATATTTAGCTAAGCAGGTGGGAAACCACAGTAGTGGTGATGGTAAACTCCCAGGTATCACTTCATCCCTGGTCACCACAGAAGTTATTTTGAAGATGAAACTCATTTCCTCATCCTCAGCCCTTCCTTCTTCCCAGAAAAATCCAAAGCTTCCAGGGTCCAGCTGGACCACTTTGCTTTATTTCTTGTTTTTCCCCATACTCACTAGCTGGTCCACCTGTTTCTCTTTCCGCCTCTCAGAATGTGTGCCCTAGAGATGGGCAGACACCAAAGTCTCTCAGGTGCCCAGCCTCTACAAAATTATTTCCCCTAAGGGGAGATGAGATGAAAGCTTTTACTTGAGTAAACTGTTCCTTTTTCTCTTCCTCTCTGGACCCGAGGCCCTCCCCCATACAAGCCCAACCTCTGCTTCTTCCTAAAAAAACACAGGAGAAATACCACTGAATTTGCAAAAAGGAATCAAGCCTAGGGGAGTTGTGTGTGTCGTATTGCACAGCATGAAGAGAGAAATCACATTTTAGTAATACCGATTCCCAACCTCTTCGCCGTTTCTTTTACTGCTTTTGCTTTGGACCGACTTGCACCCCAGGCTGTAAAATGGCAGAGAAGCCAAGAGGGTTTGTCACCGACAAGGAAAAGTCATTAGGGAGCTGCTGAACCCTGACCCAGACTCCCAAAGGATTTTCATCCTTATTCCATTTCTAAGACCGCAGGGAGCCACCGAGGGGAAGGGGTGAAGGGGACCCAGTCCTGTGGCTGTGCCAGGCTGCCCGAGGCTTGATTAGTAAACCCTGTGCCCGTAGAACTCCTCACCCCTGCCCTGGGGATAGAGGTGGGGGGAGGGGGAGCAGCTTCCCTACTGCCTGCTTCCTGGCTCAGGGGACTCTGCCCCAGTAAATCGTGGCCCGGAGAAGCCCAGGGGACGGAGCACGTTGGGCCGGCACGGGGTGGGGACGGGTTCCCCCGAGGATGCCAGGGTGCCCACTTTAAAAGGTGGGGAGAGACGGGCCATTAACTTCAAAGGGGTCTCGGGGCCGTAGGCAAGCTCCCCTTCTTGGAGGGAAGGGAGTCAGTCACTGAGGTCACCGCTCACCAGCAGCCCCCCATTTGGGGACTGAGCCCCTAAAAAGCTCCCCTTCCCAATTTCTAGGCATGGAGAGCCCACCAACCCCCCTCCCCCCACTCCCCAAGCAGAGCCCCGCAGTCCGGGGTCCCCCACCTCCTCAGGGGAAGTCGGAGACCAGGGACGGCGGGACAGTCCGGCTTACCTGAGTGCACCCCTCACTGCCCAGGGCCACAAACCACGGGGCCGCAACACTCCGACAGGACCCCAACCAGATTTGGAGGCCACGCCCACATCCTTTCCTATTGGCTGAGAGCTCGGGGCCGGCCCGCCGCTATTGGCTGCCCCCCCTCAGCGGGGCGGCAGAAACCGGACTCCCTCCCACCCCCGCTGCCACCCCCACCCCACCCCCAATTACGAGAGCGTCATGTGACGGCTTGGTCACGTGATCTATGGGCTGTTAGTGTTCCCTTTGTGGGGTGGGAAGGGGGGGGAGGGAGGGGAGCGACGGGCGCAGATTATCTCAATTTCCGCTCCTCTCATGATCGCGGACTTGTGGCGTGACCCCTGTGACCCCCCCAGCAGTTCTTTTTATCATCCACTTAGACTAAGGGGACCTCCAAGGTCATCTGATCCAAACTTACCTTTCCCCTCCGCCCTTTTATATAACTGGGAAACTGAGGCCCAGAGAGATTAGGTGACTTTGCCCGTTCCCACACAACCAGGAAATAATAGGAGAGCCTGGATTCGAACCCAGATACGATGCCATTTCATAGATTTGCTTGTGCTTGGGGACGGGGGAGCCCTGGGGGGAGGGGAGCTCTCCCCACCCCCACCCCTGTGAGTCAAGAAGAGCTGAGTCCAAATGCAGCCCCAGACACTTATTAGCTGTGTGACCCTAAGCAAGACGCTTTACCTCTGCTTCTCTTAATTTCCTTATCTGTAAAATGAGGAGAATAATAACAGCTATCTCTCAGGGTGGTGTGGAGGGAAAAAAATGTATTTTTAAAGTGCTTTGCAAACCTTAGAGGGCCACATAAATGCTAGCAATTATTATTGTTATGTCATCTCAAGTTATGAATGTGTTAACAAGGCCCTCAGTAAACTGAGGAAGTTCCAGGCCTTTGGTGGAGTTAGAAGAGTATTATCCCACTGACTGGCAGAAGATAGAAAACCCCTCTACCACCACAACCACCCTTCTGGTGATGATACTAGCTAACAGTTATATAGTGCTTACTCTGTGCCAGGCACCTGACTAAGCACTTTACAATTATCTCATTTGATCTTCATTTTACAGGTGAAGAAACAAGCGAGGGAGTTAAGTGACTTGCCAGGGTCACACAGCTAGTACCTGTGGGAGTCAGGACTTGAACTCCGGTCTTTCTCTTTCTACCCATTGTGGATATAATTATGTGTGCTTGTGTGGTTGTGATTGTGGTTGTGGTTTGTGCTTCCTTCAAGAAGAGGACCATGACATCAGGGGGATGATGATGTGACTTGCAATTGACTTTGATTTGAGTGAGGGAGGGCTGTGCAAAGTCACCAGCCTCACTTTCTCCACCAGAGCCATCTGGGTCTGATGGGGTGCTTGGGTGTTTGTGCTTGTACTTGTACCCCAATTTCTCCCTAGTCTCAGAAACACTGTTTCTGACAACCACTCCCCAGCCCAACAACACTGTGCCTAGCAGTTATTCATGCATGGGCCTCAGCATGACCCTTATCTCTCTCCCTGGTACAGCTACACAGAGCTGGGCTGCTCAGGCCCCAGCCCTCAGATCATGTCTCTGGAAGCCTCCCAGTTCCTTCCTTAGTAAGTTCCTATCTCGTGAGAAAGCTTTCCCTTGTTGTAGAGCATTCTCTCATCAAGACAGAGGGAGAGGGGTGCCTTGCCCAGCCCAAGGAGTTTTGTCCTTGGCCAGCCCAAGGACTCTTCCTCCTGCCAGACTCCAAAGATCCATACCTCTGTCATCTCCCTCCCTGTCCGGTGTACTCCCTGTACTTTCCCATCCATAGCTCCCAAAGACACCTGCACCTTTGGATTACCTCATCAGTGTCCCTGGCATTTCTTTCCCATGCTCTTTTCCATATAAACCCTAGCTGCATTTGCAGTCTCTCACAGGATCCTTTAAGAATCCTTGCCCGCTGAAAAGCGTAACAATAAATCTTTGCCACCTTGAATTACAGAATGCTTGAGTCTGTGAATTCATTCCAGATGACCCGTCCTGGTCTTTGAGGGGTCACAACCTCTCAACCTCTCACACCGCAACATTCATGGCACCCAATGTGGGGCTAGTCTGAAGTCTCAAGCCTTCTTCGACTCAACGTAAGCCTCCCCCATCCACCCGCCCTGTAGTTGGGTCGCCCCTCAAGCACCTAGGAAGGCTTGCCGGGGCTGGGTCGAGCCTGCAACAGGCTCTAGCGGATTTTCCTCATGACAAGGGAAGCCTTGTTGGGAACTTCTGCGGGGTTTTTCTCCCTCACCAGGACGCTGGTCTAGGTGAGTAGACTACAGGAGCAAGTCCTTCTTTTTTTGTTTTTTTAAGGCTTACCGGCAAAGAGGATGGGCAATCTCCCCCTACACCTCGAGATTCGCCCCTAGGTTATCTTTTATAGAACTGGAGAAAGCTCAGTCTCCAAAACCATAAGGAAAATTTTGCCTGGTCTCCGTAAGATCTGGAGAATCACGAAAAATTGTCTGTCTTGTGCAGGGAAGTCTCTCTGAGTTTTTGGATTATCCCTGTCATTATCATGTTATCTGTTCTGTGTTTGTCCATGTGGTATGTGAGCATCTGTGTGTAATGTGAAACCTTTACAGCCAGGGCTGCAGCTGGACTCTGGAATGCCGTTTTTTTCTTCTTTCTCTCCCTCCTTGATAGCAGCAGCTTCAGAGGAGCGGATGGATGAAAGAGAGAAAAATACTTTATTATTTAGGTTACATGACTGGTAAAAAGCAAGTTGAGGATCCTCAAAGTGTCAGGTCAGAATTAGAAAGAAATCAGATATGTGCAGTTTTAAAGGGACTTTAATCAAAGTCCATCAGAGGGATAATTAGGTAGAAGGAAGGCAAGAAAGTTTAAGCGTGTAGGAGAGAGAAGTATGTGTAGAAAGCTTAAGGAAGGTAAAATTTATTTGCACAGTGTGAATAGAGGGTTTGAGAGTAAAAAGGTTTTGAAACTTTCGGAGAATTGTTAGGAGAAAAAAGTCTTTCTCCCTCTCTCTCTTTACATTCCAACCTTGGCCAAGTTGTTAAATGTAGAAGAGAGAGAGATATGGAGGGTGAATCTTTTCCCCTCAGATCATAAAGAGGTAGCACTTAATCTTTTCTGCCTCCCATAAAAGAGAAAAGTCTTTGTGCACTGGAATACAACCAAAAGGTAATTTAGTTCATTCTGGTAATACAAATGTTAACTGCTATGATTAGTTCCTTAATTAGATGTGACCAGTATGCAATGTCAGTGGTGAAGAGATGCCTGATTTTCTTTGTAAGGAAATTTGGAAATGCATTCAACAGAATTGGAGTCATCAGATTGGTAATGTGTTTCAAGTTTTAAAAATCTAGTATTGTTCCAAATTGGTAAGCTTTTGTATTGTTTTGTCAAGCAGTTTTTCATAATTTGGATGTTATTAAAGTGTGAACTTAAAGAAACTATAGTGGGGAAACTGTGTAAAACCAGTTATATTATTTTGTCAGCCCTGCTAACCCTGTCCTATAATGTTTTATAACTGTCATTTAGAAAACTAGGTATTTCTACCTTTACCTGTAATTAAAGAAGGGCTTATAGCTAAAACAATTTGACTATCACTTATGAAAGTTATAAGATTGTTAACTAAGTTATTTGAAGTTACTGTTTTAATGTTAAAACCTAGAATTGTTAATTGATTACTGTGTGAAAAGGAGGGAATTGGGTAAAAGCCTTATCCAGATTGGTTCTGCCCATTCAAAACAGTCCTGCTTGGGATAAAGAAGTCGGCAGGCAAGGGCACCAGGATTAGCCCCTCCCTGGGGTATAAGGCAATTCCCCTTACTTTGTAAACTTGGCCCAGTTCCTGGAAAAAAAAAATCTGTGTGGGAAAGGTCATCTGCTCTGAGAAAAGAACTTGTTTGGAGTTCCTAAACAATGAACTTAGCTTGCTGAGAAGTTGCAAGTTTATGTACAGTAGATAGAAATGATTTCTAATGATTGGCTTTTGCACAGGACAAGTTTAAATTTGAGAAGGAAAGATGTTAAGTGAAATCTCTTATGTATGTGAGTCCTGGTAAATCTTTATTGCTTATTGCAACTCCATGGAAGTATATTAACTGTATCTGGCTTTAAGCTATGATTAGTGAAACTTGCTGTTTGAGGTAAAAGGCTCTTGGGACTATAACTAATTGTGTTTTGAGTTTGAATTTGGGCATAGTTGTCTGTGTCTGAGAGAAATGACACAAGCACCCAAGCATCCCATCAGGTCCAGTGGCCAGACATTGATCAGGACAACTGGAGATGGCTCAGGATGCAGTGGGAGACCATGGCCATTTTAAGCTAAGGTCTCTTCAGGTTCTCACTTTGAGTGATGCAATGCCCATTTAGTGAATAGGCCTCTTTAAGAAGTGAGTCAAGGGATGGCCCCTTTAATGAAAAAAAAATCAAACTAGGAGGGGAAGACCCCCAGGTTGCTGGCCGAAAGAGAAACAGTTACTATCTACATTCACTCTAAGCCAGGAGGGCCCAAAAAATAACGGTTAAGTGGTGCTTGGGCAGGGGCCTAGATTTGGACTTTGAGAAAGAAATCTAGGCAGTAAACTCCAAGTTAATAGGTAGCTTTCGGCCATCAAAATTCACCTTCCTTTGGGCAGAACACTCTCTGGTAAGAGGAGAGGAGAGCCCTGGACTCCCCTCCCCTCCCCTCCCCTCCTCTTCTCTCTTCTTCTTCTCTCCTCTCTTATAATAGTAATAGAGGCAGTTTAAGGTATTCAAAGCCTAGGAGCCAGGCCGGGAAGGAATCACTATGGAAGTAGGAGGTGAAGAGGCAATTTCTCTCATCTCTCCTATCTCCACTCCCATCCCCATCTGTTAAGTAGAATAGAATAACAGCTACTTACCCCCAAGAGGATATGCCTTGCCCAACATACACTTGCAAAGTCAGTTGGGATGAAAAGCTAAAATTTCTGATATCTCCTGCCTGGAAGGTGGCCAGCTTCACAGCTAAGGCCCCAAAGGAGCAGAACTGGGGAGGATTCCGAGCTCGGTTGAAGATCCCTGTTCTTTCAGTAGAAACATAGTAGTACCCTAAGCAAAAGAGCCTTGGACTGGAGGAAGTGGTGACCA